CCTTTAAGAGTGGAGGCTATATTGAAATTGAAGTATATTTCCACTTTAAGATTAAAGTAAAGTGTATATAAAAAATGAATTATATTTTCCCTTTAAGATTAAAGAATATGTTAAAAATGAATGATACTTCCCCTTTAACTAAAGTATATATTGAAAACTAATTATATTTCCCCTTTAAGAGTAAAATATATGTTGAAATGAGTGATAGTTCCCCTTTAAGACTAAAGTAATGAAATGAAATGAAATGAAATGGGGTTTAACGTTCTATTGTATTGCATACGCCATACAGTGTGCTATGAGGGAAATTTTGCCCGGACAGCGGCGCTACGGCCTACTCTTATATCGAATTCCAACTGCCAAAGGATCTTTTACGTGCACACCAATTTTTACACGGGACCTCGGTTTTTCGTCCCATCCGAACGACTAGACAGCTGTCCTTGTCAGGCCCTCCATAAGACTACAGTAAAGTGTATGTTGAAATGAATGATAGTTCCCCTTTAAGAATAAAGTAAAGTATATATTGAAGTACCCATGTGTACCCAACAAGTGGTTGTAATAAGTGATATAAGTAAAATAACAAGGTGTTATACATATGTTACAATATATATATAGGTGTTACAAGTCTAGGGTGGAGTGTATATCAGGGGAATTAACAAATGTTCTATGTTAAATAATAACACGTGTCTTTATTGTTAAACAATCTACATGTTCACAGCGATATATCTTGGGTTGTTCCGTAAAACCAACGTTTATAGTGGAGTAAAATAAAATAAAATGGGGTTTAACGTCCTACTTTTCTGCACCAAATGGGCTGATGTCAAGAACGAAGACAAACATACTCCCTGCAGTGTGCTATGTGAGGGAAGTTTCTATTTCCGCCTTCTTTACATCAAATTCCGATTGTCAAGATTCGTCAACATGTGCGCAAGATGTCGGTTTTTCGTTCCATCCATACCATTATAACTAAAATAAGAAATATTTTGGTTTAACTTATCGTGAACGCGCCCGCTGGTCAGTAAGGTTCAATCAGATTAAAACACAGATCCTATTTCGTTTCGTTTTTTATAGTTCAAAATTTGGTTTACTTGTCTTTACTCCACTAGGATCTGGAAGAGTTGTTATAGGTCAAAAGCCGCTCGTGTGACCCCTGCGGGATTGGACATCTCACTTCAACTGGTCAGATCTTCATGTAGTGTAGGCCATCGAAAGAATAAAAAAAACGAAACGAAATATAGATCTGTATTTTAATCAGATTAAATAAGGTTTGTTAAAAGTTTTACTCGAAGTTTTTATTTAGCGTATCGCATTGAAACCGTTGCCGGAGGATCACGTGGCTAAGTGGGTAAGACGCTGGCTCGCTAGCCTGGAGGTCGGGTGTTCGATCCCTGCATTGGCCGAGAAAGTTCATCCAGATTTTTCCGGCGTGGTTCCCCCTTGTCAGTGATTCAGGACGGAGGGCCTGACAAGGACAGCTATCTAGTCCTTCGGATGAGACGAAAAACCGAGGTCCCGTGTATATATTGGAATGCACGTAAAAGATCCCCTGGCAGTTGGAATTCGATATAAGAGTAGGCGATAGTGCCGCTGCCCGATCAAAATTTCCCTAATAGCATACTGTATGGCGTATGCCCGTCTTCATTAGCCCAGCATAGGAGCAGAACAGTAAGACGTTAAACCCCATTTCATTTCATTTGAAACCGTTGCCTGTTGCAAGAACTATTATGATTGTGGCCTATTGTATTGAACCCGTCCTGTAGTATTATTAGAATGTCTGAACAGACGATCTTGCAAAATAGTCGAAGTCAACCTGAATTGATTACGACTACCAATTGAACCAAGCGCACTTTGAATAGCATCTGAAAACCTTTCCTGTAGAGCTAATTCCATCCTTTTCCCGATTCGTCTTTTTTTCCTGTAAATTCCGGTCGTTAAAACCCATCAAAAATAATTACAGCTATTGATCCTGTATCACAAAATGCTTCTAATTTTCTACTTTTTATCGATTTCATTTGAAAACAGAAATATATGCTTAGAAGCTATAAAACAACGTCTAAACTATGACTAACACTGTGATGCATCAAGGCATGTTTTACCACGAGAGAGAGAGAGAGAGAGAGAGAGAGAAAATGAAATGAAATAGGGTTTAACGTCCTACTGTTCTGCTCCTATGCTGGGCTAATGAAGACGGGCATACGCCATACAGTGTGCTATGCGGGAAATTTTGCCCGGGCAGCGGCAATATCGCCTACACTTATATCGAATTCCAACTGCCAAGGGATCTTTTACGTGCACGCCAATGTATACACAGGACCTCGGTTTTTCGTATCATCCGAAGGACTAGGCAGCTGTCCTTGTCAGGCCCTCCGTCCTGCATCCCTGTCCCGGGATAACGAAGACGGGCATACGCCATACAATGTGTTATGAGGGAAGTTTTGCTTGGACAGCGGCATTACATCTCTCGTTGTCAGAGGGCATAAAACTTTGGTCCATTTTATTTTAATCAAACGTTGGCCTGTTGTGTTTAGGGTCTGGATTCAGCCATAATGATTGACTAAGATCACAAACACAAACATCTTAAAGAGACGTTATCACTCCAATCTGATTAAAACACACATCCAATTTCGTTTCGTTCAAAATTTCGTTTGAACTTGTCTTTATTACACTAGAATCTGGAAGAGTTGTTATATAACCCGCGTTCTGGATGATGTGAGGGATTAGCCAATGAAACGGTTTGTTTCGGCGAATTTTTGGCGTGAGGTTCACGGAACTATGGGAAACCCACTAGAAATATCAACGCTGATTGGTTAATCAAATGTCTGACGTCACAGGGTCAAAAGTCGCTCGTATGACCTCTACCGCGACCTTCCACAACAACCGATCAGCTCTTCATGTAGTGTAGGCCATCAAAAGTATAAAACGAAATATAGATCTGTATTACCATTTCAAACTTCATGACAAGTTGAGGGGTTGGATGGCCGAATGGTTAGCACGTGTGCGCTGTTCATACGGTCTGTCGTTGAGTCAACTGGCGTGGTTTCGATTCCCCGGTTGTACGTGACAAGGAGTAGGGTCGCTGTCCAACCTCATGGGTTTTCACCGGGTCCTCCGGTTTCCTCCCACTGCTAAAGACCCCTACGCGCAAGCGAATTATTGAAAAAGAATTGAACCATGTGTTAGTCCCGAAATGATATAGTTTGTGTCGAGTGGACGTTAAACGCCCTCTGGTTAAAAGTGATAAAACATCTTTAATAAAGATGCCTATAGACTGTGTAAATGTTAACAACATTACAAGTAAAAGAAAATACTGTATTCTTATAATTAGTCTGAACCCATTCTTAACCGTAATTATTGCTAAACGATAGACCTAAAAGAAAAATGGCTTTTGTTGGATCCTTTTATTTGATGGGTCTTTGATGATAAATGTCAAATGTTATATATACATAAGTTGTTGTGGGTTGGTTTCTTTTGTAAATGTCATCGTCCATCCATCAATAATTTTTTTAAATATTTTATTGTTTTGTGATTAAAGACCAAGGAAGCCGATCAATCTTATATTTGCATTAAGTAGCTTTACTAATGAAGAAAACGTGTAACCGTCTCACCGCCAGCTTTTTAAGTGGCTTTTATGTCAATATTTAGATGAAATTGTAATTAGGTAACATTCCCGTTAATAAGCTATCAGAACGTTCGATATTATTGGTGATTTTGTAATTGTAAAATTACCCCCTGTGGTTTCCCCGTGTAAGGACAATGAGCGAGAGAGAGAGAGAGAAGAGAGACAGAGACACACACACCCACACACACACACACACCCACACACACACATTTCAGGGGCCTGTTTCACGAAATTTTAACTAAGATAAAATCCAAATTTTAGTAATTTGATTGGATAATATTAGATGGTTTTTAGTGCTTAGCCAATCAAAATTGAAGTATCTACTAAAATTTGGATTTTATCTTTAGTTAAGATTTCGAGAAACAGGGCCCAGGACTATAGTATGGTTCAATTTTATTTCAAAAATTCACTTGCGCGTAGGGGTCTTTAGCAGTCGGAGAAAACCCACGAAGTTGGACAGGCGGCCCTACTCCTTGTCACGTACAACCGGCGAATCGAAGCCATGCTAGTTGACTCAATGACAGACCTTATGATACAACGCGCACGCGCTAACCACTCGACCCCCCTCCAGGAGATGCAAGACGAAGGGCCTAGCAAAAAGAGATATAGAGAAATGGGGTTTTTAACGTCCACTCGACACAAACTAGGTCATTTCGGGACAGCGTCTAGTCGTTCGAATGGAAGGAAAAATCGAGGTCGCGTATATATGGCAGTGGGTTTGCGATGTAGAATAGACGAAAACGGGTACAAATTTGCTCATAGCGCACTGCAAGGTATATGTCCGTCTTCATTAGCCCGGTTGGTGCAGAAAAGTAGGGCATTAAACCCCATTACATTTCATTTCAACCCGTTATTGCGAATAAAAATAAAAAAATTCCCGGAAGAAATTTGCTTTGTTCACAGGAAACAAGCACCATCGTCTTCGCACATTACGGATTAAATATTCGAAATTTAACATCAAGATAAACAACATAATATCAAGATCTAACAACAACATTACATCAAGATCTAACAACAACATAACATCAAGATCTAACAATAACAACATATCAAGATCTAACAACAGTATAATATCAAGATCTAACAACAACAACCTCATATCAAAATCTAACAACAACAACATAACATCAAGATCTAACAACATAACATCAAGATCTAACAACATAACATCAAGATCTAACAACAACATAACACCAAGATCATATAACAACAACATAACATCAAGATCTAACAACAACATAACATCAAGATCTAACTCCATATTTTAACCCTTTATTACTTAGACCAGCATGTCTGTCGCTTTATTTCGCGACGACGCACATGTTGCTTGTCCATCCATATTTTATACACTTTTATTAATTGCGTCTTTTTGTTCTCATTTCAGTTCGGGAATCCAATGATATTCTACGTAGACACAACAATGGAATAATGATCAATGGATTAAACCGACCGAAACTTTATCATAACCACACAGTGGACTATCGTCGATAAACTATTACTGAAGCAATGCATAGTTTGAATAGTCCAGGATCCTATGACGTCAACAACAGGTGCGCGTTTTGATGATGCCAACAGAGAACGCGCTTTTTGAAAGTGTCGACAGTTTGTATGATGAAGATGACATTACCTCAACTTACGATATCAAGAAAGATTGTAAACTGAATTGACGTCATAGAAACTCGCTTAATACGATACACGTTTTAGTGTTTATGTTGACGTCACTAAAAGAGTTTTACATAATGTTATAGTGTGTGTGTGTGTTGACATCATCACCTAGAGTGTACCACGTGATATTTAAATTAGCAGCGAATATAACAACTGATGCAGTTTATAATTGTATGAATATGCAAATTAACCAATATGTAAATAGTTTTAGAGTGTGTATGATAGATAAATTCAAGTGTTATTCATTAGTTGCACGAATGAAATTTGCTAGTTGTCTGTCCATAATACTAATAGAATCAAAGTAGGCCTTAAATGCAGACTTAATCCAACTGTTCGGGGAAAGGATACTTTAGGGAAATGTTTATAATTATTCCGGTAATAAATCTGGGCCCTTATTCACGAAAACTTAAATTAAGATACAATCGAAATTTTAAGAAATACTGCAATTCAATTGGCTGACCAGTAAAATCAATTTGCATATATCCAATGAAGTTGCAGTATTTCTTAAAATTTCGGTTGTAACTTAGTTTAAGTTTTCGTGAATAAGGGCCCAGATCAATAGAACCTTGGCAAACATATAGAAATTATATCTAAAAATTTAAATTTGATCGAATTAGGCCGTAACGCATGAGGCTGTGATAATCACCGTTGTCAGTTGTTTCGACAATAGCCTATCCCGGTCATAATAATCACCAACAAGAGGGGGTTATTTTGGGGGAGGTTTTGTCATTTACAAAAAGTGACCGACAAGAAAAAATATGTTACAGATAAAATTTAAATGATTTCATAAAAACATGAAATTAATATGTACAAATGAAATTTCAAATTTTATAGATAAGATCACATTATTAACAAAATACAAGATTTCGCGGTTTTATTCGTCTTAGTAGATAAAAGAAAGACAGATTTTCTACCAAGACTTAAAAATATCTTTCTTCCTGAACATCACCCGCGTCACGACTCATAATTAAATGGAACGCAGTTTGAACATGGATGTTGGGTTGCTTCTTCACGAAAACCTAAATCTCTTAAGATGCATAATGTAAGATTTAGATAAAGAGCTGGTTGTTCTTACTATAACAGTTAAAAAAAAGATGATCAAAAATTTATATATTTATGATTTCAGTAAAATTACTTTATTCTGAGCGAAGTTAGTAGTGTTTCGGTGAATAAATGACTAAATAATAATTTATGTAACATTTTTGAAGCTTGAAAAAAGACCTGACATAGGCAGATTTAGCTAATACATAATGCATCTTCAAATTCGATTGTACCTTATAATTAACATCTAGAAATCGTCATAACAGGATTGATTTGTCCCCAAAAACTTATGGGGAGACAACTAACAAATTTCTCTCATCACCTATTATAACGGCTAAATCTAATTCTTAAGGCCAGCTCAATTTTGTCAAGGTCGTCGAGATGTAAATAAGGTTAGGGCACGTGATTGTTGGTGAGATTTTAAGTTAGGGTTATGGTAAGCATGGGGCTCTAGAGGGTTAGGTTTAGGGTTGGGATTAGCCCTAGTTCGGTTTACATCTCGTGACATATGACGAAATATTGAGCTGACCTTATCATTTAGTACTAACCGTATTATAACGACATATCATTATTAGAGCGAGACATCGACATAGTTACACTCGCAAAATTGTGCCAAATGAAAGGATTCTTTTTTCAGTCCAGTCTATGTTAAGCTTTATTCATCTTCTAAAAAGTGTCTGCTTACAAGTCAATAATCTGCCAAAGATACCTTGATAGCCATGATCACTTTATTTCTTTTAGACCACACCAATTTGATTTTAAGTTCTTGGTTCTGAACACTTTTTTGTGCCAACGGCACTCCTTGCAAAACATGAAAAAATATATATGGAAAATATCTGAATTTTTCAAAATAAAAACATGGCAAGTCATAGACGGCATATAATCGTACACTCAAACTAGATAAAGAAAAACACAGCTATGAACTAAGAATTTACTCAGAATTGTCCGCCTAATATATAACTTTATAAACCTTTTGTTGTTTTAATGATCAAATACATCAATAAGAAACTATGTACAAAGTTTTGTGTTTCTAGATCAAAGATATTTCACCTAAACACTGATTGAAAGTTGAGTAAATTCTTAACTTAGTTCTGAGAATGCTTTGGGAACTCGGTGACAGGGTGGCGTCTTTACTGCGCTGCTGCGACCGTACAGCGACCAGAAAATGCACACGGTCGCCGGCAAACGTGAACACAACGCGAGAAAATGTCCCAAAAATTACAAACTTGTAAAGAGTCGCGTTCTCACAGCTTTCCGGGTCATAACCGTGGCGTTTGTTTTTAACATGCTTAAAAGTAGGACATCAAACCCCATGCCATTTCGTGCAGTAATACCTTGATATTACGGCGTGGTTTTGTTATGATCGTATCCTATTATTATACACTCTCTAATGAATGCTACCAAGTCAATCTAGTACAATATTGTTACTATATTTAGATACCCGTTTCTGTTCTAATTATGATGCTTCAGATTAATTATATTGCCATGTATTCCCATTCCGTTAGAATATGAAAGATCTACCATCGACTTGTAACTACATCTATCAAGGGATTTGATAATTACCACTAATGCATGCGTTAATTAAAAGTCATAAATTTTCACTTCCTTGTACTCAAAGCTTCTACAGTTTAAAAGGAGATTCTCACTCCACCAAGAAAATAAATATAAGCAATTTAGAATAATATCAGATTTTCAGACTTTAAATAATTTGCCAAACAATTTAAAGTTTAAAGGGGAATTCTCACTCCCACGAAGAAAATAAATATAAATATTATTTCAGATTTAAAATAATCTTAAACTCTTTAATTTGCAAAAAAAAAAACGAGCACTGGCCTACTTTGTGTATCGTAATTCGTCATACGAAACGTACGCCGCCTGTCTACAGTTAGCTCCGCTTGAGAACAGACACGAACCTAGCATAATTTTTCAAAATGGCGGCCAATTACGTCCGAGATCTATATTCTCAAAGCGAACAGTTAACTGTGTGCAGAATGGTTTTGCGTACTTTGCCACATCGGTTGCTAAACGCCTTGAAAACAAATGAAATGAAATGAAATAGGATTTACCCTTTTTCTGTTCTCCGGCTGAGCTAATAAAAGACGACCTTTGAAAAGAGCTAAAATTTGTGTGCATATATTTGACTCGTATATTGGAGAATAAAACTTTCACATCGTGGTTATTTGTATTCCGATCGGTCTCAAATTTTACATAAGATCTAGATTGTACAGGCACGGGGCAACCGTGTCGTAAAATCATGATAAAGTGATGGTGGGGGGCTCAAACCGAACAGGACCTCCAAAGCGCTATATTTTTTACCGACTAGCGAAAGAACTGATCCAAACCGCACAAAACAGCGACACTTATTACGAAACTCCTCATTCGTTTTAATTCTTGTTAAATATTAAATTGTGCTAAAATCAAAATATCAACTGTTTATAATTTCGCAGGGGGGTTGAATGGCCAAAGGTTAGCACGTGCGCGCTGTATCATAAGGCCTGTCTTTGAGTCAACCGGCGTGGTTTCGAATCCCCGGTTGTACGTGGCAAGGAGTAGGGTCGCCTGTCCAACCTCGTGGGTTTTCTCCGGGTTCTCCGGTTTCCTCCCACTGCTAAAGACCCCTACGCGCAAGCGAATTATGTAAATAAAATTAAACCATATGTTAGTCCCGAAATGACCTAGTTTGTGTCGAGTGGACGTTAAACCCCATTTCTCTCTCTCTCTCTATTTCACCGAACATTTCATTAACGATTGAATGTAAATCAGTTTTATAACATTCATATTACATTATTATATGCGTTGCTATCTATTTGTGTCCATTTCTACATGGGTGCCTAAGAAAGGCGATTCAACACAATACATTGGGTTATTTTAAAGCTGACATAATAGTAATTTTGTCTGGTTGCGTTACGTTTTCAGTGCCAGACAAGGACATTTTCACCGGACGGCGACACGAGGGCTTATACTTCAAATTCAAAATCAGAGCAGACCATCTACTGGATTGAAACATTAAATTAACAATGCGTCATTTAGATTTTTCTCGGCCAAAATATCAAATTTTTCACAGCTTAATTTACGCCAATATGAACTTTGATTGATTACTTAAGAAAGGAAAACCAACGCTAGATAATATCCCGGCTTGGATTGAATCGGTTTCAAAACAGGGACCTGTTTCACGAAATTTTAGTAATTTGATTGGATAATATTAGATTGAAGTATCTACTAAAATTTGGATTTTATCTTTACTTAAGATTTCGAGAAACAGGGCCCAGGTCTATCAATAAATAGTTCGATGAAATTTCAATTCCTCATATCTTTGTAAATACTGAACGGAACTGAACCAATGTTGGAGCTTCATCTTTCACAATCTGATTCAAACACAGATCCTATTTCGTTTCTTTTTTTTTATAGTTCAAAGTTACGTTTTACTTGTCTTTACTACACTGGGATCTAGAATAGTTGTTATATAACCCACGTTCTTGATGATGTGGGGGATTATCCACTGTTACGGTGAGTTTTTGGCGTGAGGTGCACGGAACTGTGGATAACCCACTAGAAACATCGACGTTGATTGGTTAATAAAATGTCTGGCGTCATAGGGCCAAAAGTCGCTCGTATGACCAGATCTCCCACTACAACTGATCAGATCTTTATGTAGCAGAGGACATCGAAAGAATAAAAAAAAACGAAACGCAATATAGATCTGTATTTTAATCAGATTGGGGATCCTATATGACGCGTCGAGACATTGACTATTATCATCATGGCGTCAGTTCCTAACAGAGATGATCAACAAACGTCATAACTATGATAAGATAAACCTCATAGAAACAAATAGTTCGGTTTTGTTCAATTTGTGAACAGGTCCTCGTTTCCCTTCTCACCAACAAAACTACACAAGTTTTTCTTATTATTCCACGGGCGTTACCCCTGACAAAAAATGGCTAAAAGAAACCGAGGGGAACACTTGGCAATAATGGCTTCAAGCCAATCGTAAACTGGATAACCTGCTCAAAATGACGTCAGACGTAACTATAAGTCAGAAAATGAGTGACGTGGGGGCGATTCTGATTTACAGCATGCTATCCAGTTAGACTGGATAACCTGCTTTAAATGACGTCAGATTTGTTCCTACGTAACGGCGCTATATAAATGCAAGTCAGAAAAAGGAGTGACGTAGGAGCGAGTCTGACATATTAGAGCAGGTTATCCAGTCTAAATTTATCGAAGCTTGTGCCATTGGAATATGAATCACATGCCATTAGATGAGACATTTGCATTTCGAGTGTGGTAGCTTGGGTTTAATGTTTTTAATATTTATTATTATAAAAACAATACAAGTTTATTATATAATTAATTGTTATAACTATTATTCCAAACGGTAGATATTCCACGTAATGAATACAAATGTAGTCCTTATTATTATGTCTTAATTTGTATGCGTAGTCCAATTAACCAGACGTTAAAAATGATAATTACAATATTATATAGACCTATATTTATAAAAGAAAACATGTACATACAGAATAAAATGTTGAATGATATGTATTATCTTTCATTTATTTTTCCTGGTGCTGGACATTTTTATTATGGCATGTCAACTGGTGTTGCCTAGGGTTAGGATTAGGGTTAGATGAGATCAATCCGGTTGGGGAGGAAATCGGGATGGCTGTGGAGGAGAATAGGAGATTTAGCCAAAGATGGAGTCGTTTCTTGAGGGGGTCGATCCGTTTGTTGAGATCAAGGCGAATGTGGATACAGCTCAGGACGGTTGGGGTGGGGAAGAGGGGGGGGGGGGGTGCAGGCGTTAGATAGGACAGTTTAGGGAGGGGAAGAGATCAGAAAGAAGGGGTTTTGGTCGGGGGGGGGGGGGGGGTCAGTCGTTAGATAAGACAGGTTAGTGAGGAGAATAGATCTGTTGAGCATATCAGGGCGGTTGGGGAGGAGTGATCAGAACTCGAGCTTTCTCAGACTTAAGTTAAGAATTTACTCAGCTTTCAATAATTGTTTATAAAAAATATCTTTGATCCAGAAACACAAAATTTGATACATTAAAACAACAAGGGGCTATATTTTACTTAAAATAAGGTGAAAAATTTTGAGTAGATTCTTTACTTAAGCCTGAGAATGCTTTGTGAACTTGGGGCCAGGTTGTTTGGGGAAGAGATAACCCACTAGAAACATCGACGTTGATTGGTTAATAAAATGTCTGGCGTCATAGGGCCAAAAGTCGCTCGTATGACCAGATCTCCCACTACAACTGATCAGATCTTTATGTAGCAGAGGACATCGAAAGAATAAAAAAAAACGAAACGCAATATAGATCTGTATTTTAATCAGATTGGGGATCCTATATGACGCGTCGAGACATTGACTATTATCATCATGGCGTCAGTTCCTAACAGAGATGATCAACAAACGTCATAACTATGATAAGATAAACCTCATAGAAACAAATAGTTCGGTTTTGTTCAATTTGTGAACAGGTCCTCGTTTCCCTTCTCACCAACAAAACTACACAAGTTTTTCTTATTATTCCACGGGCGTTACCCCTGACAAAAAATGGCTAAAAGAAACCGAGGGGAACACTTGGCAATAATGGCTTCAAGCCAATCGTAAACTGGATAACCTGCTCAAAATGACGTCAGACGTAACTATAAGTCAGAAAATGAGTGACGTGGGGGCGATTCTGATTTACAGCATGCTATCCAGTTAGACTGGATAACCTGCTTTAAATGACGTCAGATTTGTTCCTACGTAACGGCGCTATATAAATGCAAGTCAGAAAAAGGAGTGACGTAGGAGCGAGTCTGACATATTAGAGCAGGTTATCCAGTCTAAATTTATCGAAGCTTGTGCCATTGGAATATGAATCACATGCCATTAGATGAGACATTTGCATTTCGAGTGTGGTAGCTTGGGTTTAATGTTTTTAATATTTATTATTATAAAAACAATACAAGTTTATTATATAATTAATTGTTATAACTATTATTCCAAACGGTAGATATTCCACGTAATGAATACAAATGTAGTCCTTATTATTATGTCTTAATTTGTATGCGTAGTCCAATTAACCAGACGTTAAAAATGATAATTACAATATTATATAGACCTATATTTATAAAAGAAAACATGTACATACAGAATAAAATGTTGAATGATATGTATTATCTTTCATTTATTTTTCCTGGTGCTGGACATTTTTATTATGGCATGTCAACTGGTGTTGCCTAGGGTTAGGATTAGGGTTAGATGAGATCAATCCGGTTGGGGAGGAAATCGGGATGGCTGTGGAGGAGAATAGGAGATTTAGCCAAAGATGGAGTCGTTTCTTGAGGGGGTCGATCCGTTTGTTGAGATCAAGGCGAATGTGGATACAGCTCAGGACGGTTGGGGTGGGGAAGAGGGGGGGGGGGTGCAGGCGTTAGATAGGACAGTTTAGGGAGGGGAAGAGATCAGAAAGAAGGGGTTTTGGTCGGGGGGGGGGGGGGGGGCAGTCGTTAGATAAGACAGGTTAGTGAGGAGAATAGATCTGTTGAGCATATCAGGGCGGTTGGGGAGGAGTGATCAGAACTCGAGCTTTCTCAGACTTAAGTTAAGAATTTACTCAGCTTTCAATAATTGTTTATAAAAAATATCTTTGATCCAGAAACACAAAATTTGATACATTAAAACAACAAGGGGCTATATTTTACTTAAAATAAGGTGAAAAATTTTGAGTAGATTCTTTACTTAAGCCTGAGAATGCTTTGTGAACTTGGGGCCAGGTTGTTTGGGGAAGAGATCGGGTCGGTCATGCAGGAGACAGGGTCGTGTATTGGGGACATCAGTCTGGTTGTTAGGGAATGAGACCAGGAGATAGTGTCGTGTATTGGAGAGATCAGTCTGGTTGGATGCAGGAGATAGCGTACGGAAATGAAATGAAATGAAATGGGGTTTAACGTCCTACTGTTCTGCTCCTATACTGGGCTAATGAAGACGGGCATACGCCATACAGTGTGCTACGAGGGAAATTTTGCCCGGACAGCGGCGCTACGGCCTACTCTTATATCGAATTCCAACTTCCAGGGGATCTTTTACGTGCATTCCAATATAAACACGGGACCTCGGTTTTTCGCCTTATTCGAAGGACTAGACAGCTGTCCTTGTCAGGTCCTCCGTTCTGCACCACTGACAAGGGGAAACCACGTCGGAAGATAGCGTACGGAATTTCTGATCAAAGACAGTTTATTGACATGTGTAACGGTACAAGGGAGACAACTCTATTTAGTTCTGATACCATACTCCATTGCTTTTCACTGTGTCACAATTCCAAATTCTAACAACTAGTATTTATACCATGAATTTCATTAGCTGGTACCAGAGTCACATTAATGCTTCAATAATTCGCTTGCCCGTAGGGGTCTTTAGCAGTGGGAGGGGGAGGGAACCGGAGAAAACCCACGAGGTTGGACAGTGTCTATAGGCCTACTCTTTGTCAAGTACTACCGGGGATTCAAAACCACGCCAGTTGACTCAATGACAGGCCTTATGATACAGCGCGCAGGTGCTAACCATTCGGCCATCCACCCCCTACCCCCACCCCCTCTTGCATCGAATTTCAACTCAACTGTCAAGGGTTCTTTAACGTGCACAAACAGAGTGGGAACTGCAATGTCGTAGAGGGTATTACATGATCAAAAAAAATATATAAAATCATTAACAAACACTTCGAAAACAATAATTTGCATATATTGAAAAATATCATCTTCTAAGAAATAAATGAAATGAAATGGGGTTTAACGTCCTACTCTTCTGCTCCGACTGGGCTAATGAAGACATGCATACGCCATACAGTGCGATATGAGGGACATTTTATCCGGACAGCGGCGCTACACCCTACTCTTGTATCGAATTCCAACTGCCAAGGGTTCTTTTACGTGCACGCCAATGTGTAATGTCCCTCCATGCTAGCCAGCCAACGTCTTACTTACTGAGCCACCGTGGCTCACCATAAACCTTCCAACAGTGATTCATGGTCATTCCTTACGAAGACGATATTTCTGATACACTGAATTTCTGATACATTGATATTTCTGATACACTGATACATTGTTATTTCGGATACATTGACGTTTGTGATGCACTAATATTTCTGATAATCTGATATTTCTCACACACTGATATTTTTCATACACTGAAATTTCTGATGCGCTAATATTTCTGATACACTGATATTTCTGATACACTAATATTTCTGATACACTAATATTTCTGATACACTGATATTTCTGACACATTGATATTTGTGATACACTGATATTTATGATACACTGATACACTGACATTTGTGATACACTGACATTTGTGATACACTGATATTTCTGATACAATACATTGATCTGATACACTGATATTTATGATACACCAATACATTGATATTTATGATACACTGACATTTCTGATACACCAATACATGGATATTTCTGATACACTGATATTTCTGATACACCAATACACTGATATTTCTGATACACTGATATTTCTGATGCATTGATATTTTTTTATATTTCTGATACACTTATATTTCTGATATACGTCATATCCGAACGAGTTGAAGCATATTTCTTGCCACGCCCCCCATCCTGCAGAACAGACACAGACAAACCGAGAGGTGAAAAGACACACCTGGTCTAAAGCGTCAATTACATCTCAACCCTCAAAACAACAAATCAGCATATTTTTGCTTTCATTTGATTGATTAATTTATTCATATTATGGGGATCAATATGAATATTATAATTTGGAAACCTGTAGTTATTCTTGCGGTAATCCCCTCGAAGATATTTCAATTTACGCCATCCAGCAATATATTTAAAATGATCGCGCGCGGAAGGATATTCTATAGAGGAATCGGGAAACATTTCAATTAGTCCAGAATGGCCGGGTAGAAAAATGGCATTCGTTAAACCAGAACCATGTATTCCAATTAAAATGTCTGTCGACGCTATTAACTGTAATTGGGCTTTGTATGAAAGACTGTCAAGCTGAACCCCTTTTACTTCATGCCCTGGCATAAACTGACGAACAGAAGCCAAAACTTCTAATTCATTGAGAAGTTTTCCCCTCATATGTTCGACTGGGTACCAAGGATAAGCAACTGAATCGTGCCGCCATACAAACAGAATATTTAAATGTTGGCAATTTAGCTTAGCGGCTGGGGACAGCTCAAATCTGGATAGAAAGATATCGCGGAATTCATCTAAGTATGGCACCGTTGGTAAAAGGAATGCATTTAACGGGCTGTTGGAACCAAGAATACTCCATGCCAAATGGGAATAAATATTTTCGGAATTTATTTCGGCTGTTCGAATAACTTTTTCAAACAAAGTCGACCAGATATTATAGGGTCCCCATTTTGGATGTTGGTCCCAGAGTAAAATATGTGTTGTGTTCGGCGTTCCTTTCAAAATTTTCATCACCAAGAAAGCGTTATAGAAGTCCGCCATAGTATGATAAATATTTGTATATGCGTCTCTTCGTACCATTATGGTCAAACGTTTCTCTGTAAACACGAAAGATTTTTGTCTCATATCTTTGTCCACGCATTCTATATTTTTATACCAGTCATTTAAATGATTTGCTCCCTGAAAGACAACAGATGGTGGAGATTTGCAATTAAGTCTAAAAGTTGGTAAAGCATCGTCTGTGTTCAATATAGGCAGCACTAACACGTCCTTCAAATCGGCAAATTCACTGCTACATGCTTCAACTACATTATTGTCGTCATTCTGACAGTGTGTGTACCATTTTTCGAAAAAATAGTCTTCATACCAATTCCGCTGTGGTAGGTGTTTCCAATATTGTGGTCGGAACAACGAGGATAACAGGAATGACACAATTAACAGTAACCCGACCACCATTCCAGTAACCACTTTTACCAAACGAAACCTGGTATTCCATGACAACATATTTATTATTATTATTATCAAAAATAACCGGATTTTACAGTGGCAGTGGACCCGGTGACAGAATCTACCGACATCATAGCGTTCTATATGTAGCAGGATTGGTGGACTGACTTATTCACCTTTGGGTTGAACCAAAGAGACCACTAAACAGTTCATTTACAGAACGCACACACAGGAAACAGAACAGCCAATATTACACAGAGGAGCACTGAAATAAAAAAATAACTAAAATATAAACACTCAATGATATAGCTTCTAATGACTAGTAACTTATGAGAGAGAGAGAGAGAGAGGGGGGGGGGGTTAACGTCCACTCGACACACACTAGGTCATTTCGGGACTAAAACATGGTTCAATTTTATTTCAACAATTCGCTTGCGCGTAGGGGTCTTTAGCAGTGGGAGGAAACCGAAGGAACCGGAGAAAACCCACGAGGTTGGACAGGCGACCCTAATCCTTGTCACGTACAACCGGGGATTCGAAATAAGAATAAAACAGTATTTAAATTAGAAATGAATTGTCTTATCAATATAAATAAAATGAAAGATGTCTGGGTATATATGTTCGTCCATCATGCTTCGTCGAGGTTCTCTAACCCAACACATGGGGTATCAATTAAATGTTTTAGGCCATAGTATTTGGGCCCCGGGCGAATCATGCTTCGTCGCCGTGCTCCAACCCAACATATGTGGTATCAAATAACCAGCATGGCCACGTGAATGTTTTAGGCCATAGTATTTGGGCCCCGGGCGAAGCATGCTTCGATCGCCGTGCTCTAATTCCACATATGGGATATCAAATTAACAAGGAATGACCCTTGAATATTTTAGGTCATCGAATTGGGACCCTAGCGAATTTGGACCACGGGCGAAGCCGGGTTATCCTACTAGTATTTAACATTGTCAAGTCAAGTTAAACAAATATTAACGTACCTGAGTTTTAGGCGAATTCGGTGCTTTGACTATGAAACAATGAAACTGACGTAACCAAGATGGGGATTTAAGAAAATATGTCTCACGGTGAAACAGGATGTTAGGGTAGGTATTCAAGGGTTAGATCTATTTGATAAGGTCAACTTCAAGTTTGGTCAAAGACCACGAGATGAAGGCTAAACAGGGCTAGCGCTAATCCCAACCCTAACCCTGGACCTAGCCTTAACGCTTACCCTAACCTACAATCAATATCGCCAACAATCACGTGTCCTATAACCTTATTTACATCTCAGCGACCTTGACGAAAATTGAGTTGGCCTTAACAAATAGATCTAGCCATATTTAAAATACCGACTTCTACTCACTACCTGAGTGACTGAGACCAAACATATGACATATTTCCAACACAGGATGAAAGAGACTACTTCTTATAGCTAAATATTTATGTCATTTACCCTCCTACTACATATACAATAACATAAAAATATTATACAATATTACAAGTAGCTAACTGAATAGTGTGTATATACATATTTTGTTTATTCATTCATCACCATGATTTATTCATTGATTTATTCATTCATTCATGCACTGTAATGTAGGCCTACCTCCATTGTAACGTCACAAGGGTAACCTTGCAACGTTATAATATATTATCATCAATGGCTTCCCGGTGAAATTATATTGAAACATGTAGAAGCAATATATATATAGTATGTTGATAAAGTATGTTTACGGCAGAATTAACTAGACCGCGCGCATGTCCAACCTTAACAGCATACCAGCCATAACATCCGGTTCGGGCAGAAGGTGGGAAATATGACAAGAGAGGCAGGGTCCTCACATAGTGGGAGGTAGATAACAAATCTTATCTCTCAACCCTCCGTGTTTCGAGATAAGAAATTAACTTCAACGTAGCACATGCGGGGGTGGGGGGCGATTCGCACCCGGCATTTGTAAACAAAATTGACAATATTTTTAATCAAAACAACGATTGATTATTGTTATTTATAATATTCCTGCCACACCCAACTATAACTAAGCATATAATCCTACCTGAAACGGTTACAAATCCCCTCTTTTTAAATCAAAGCGACAGTAGATTGTTTTTTCCGACATAAAGGCGGGGCCTCGTGTGCAATAGCCAATCAAAGTACCCATCTGATCAGAGTTGCGCAGTAGTAATACGCCATAATTATGAACGTCCGAATCAATTTTGATAAAAACAACGCTTGATTTACTTTGTCAATATTTGCTGATAACTGAATGTTGTTTCAGTATCTTGGACTGCGTATATGTAATATTAAGTACTAAGCATGAAGTCAAGGACTTTATCTTGCTTATAAACCGTCTATGTTTACATGTACGCAAGATGAGAATATCCCAGAATTCCCACAAGAAAAACTTTATATCATGTTTTCTTATGGAAAAAAACCTACCCTGGAAGAATAACCCGTTACAGTTTTAAAGAAAATCTTTCAGAAGAATAACCCCAAATATCCCTGTATATATCCAAAACCTCCCCCGACTTACCGCAAGTTATTCCGGGCATAGAATATACCCCAAAGATCAAAGAGATTTACCGTTACAGGTTTATAAAAACTGTTAATTAGATATTAATTAACTATCCAGACCATATTCAACTCTAGATGGCATCGCTAGCCTGCGATCTTAAGTGGATTATGAGCCGATTTACTGCATAACTTTCCTTCACGATTTAACGATTAAATAGATAATCGAGACTATGCTGTTTATCGTACTGACTTTAGTAATGATGATAGAGACTAGACAGAAATTTCAAATCCTTAGTTATCGGTTCATAGTGGATCATTGGCCGAGAAAGTTCATCCAGATTTTCCGGTGTGGTTCTCCCTTGTCAGTGATGCAGGACGGGGGGGGGGGGCTGACAAGGAAAGCTGTCTAGTCGTTCGGATGGGACGAAAAACCGAGGTCCCGTGTACACATTGGCGTGCACGTAAAAGATCCCTTGGCAGTTGGAATTCGATATAAGAGTAGGCTGTAGTGCCGCTGTCCGGGCAAAATTTCCCTCACAGCACACTGTATGGCGTATGCCCGTCTTCATTAGCCCAGGTTAGGAGCAGAACAGTAGGACGTTAAACTCCATTTCATTTCATTTCATTTCATAGTGGATCAATTTGAATGAAATTTTCAGCAAATTGCCTTTACATTATGTAGTTTTTAACTATTATAGTGAGAACTAACAACTCGCTATCAAATATCCCTTAATTATCTTTAATAGAGTGTAGTACCATCCAACGTTGGTCGTTTTTTAAGCTAAGTAAATATGAATATGCAAGACAATTATTACATATTGGAAAATAGGAACTAACATGCATTTCTGTGAATTTATCGGGAATTTCGTATTAAAGGAGCTAAATTGCTAATATATAGGGTAAAAACGCCTATAATACTGTAATATGAATGTATATCAACTGATTTACATTCAATTGTTTCCGTTTTTACTCCAATTTCAAATCAGTTATGTTCGGCGAAATAAGCCAGCAGTCTCAATCGAGTGCAAATTTCTAGCGTCTGGTTATTCCAGTCTACATACGCCGTTTGATTTGGTGTGATGTGTCTAGCCTCGTCCCTCGAGTCTCTTGTTACAACTGGGGCTGAAGCGTATTATATTACACGATTCGTGTACCAATGGTAAAATGTTTATTTTGTCTTACGTATTGGATATCAAAAGCCCATCTTTTTCCGGTAAGATCACAACATCAATGTTGATTTAATTTGAGAAATAAATCGTGTTTTCAATGTTGAAGATTTTGGATGATATTGAGTTAGAGACTTAGCTACTTTAAGAGCCGTATTTTGACATTTTATACCCCTCCCCCTACAATCACGGTAATAGTGTATAACATCCTATCTGGAATTTCGTATTAAGACCCATATATTGACAATGAATACCCCTTTTCAGTGATATTTAACATATTTTGGTATAGACCACAGAACCACAGGTCTTGATATGAAATTCTAGATATATATCACTGAAAAGCTTGTTCGTTGCTCTTTTAAAATATGTAATAAATGTTCTGGCACATTTATATTTACTTACCTTGATAGCAACCAAACTTGTATGGCACTAAACCCTATTACTGTAGGGGGTGGGGATTCAATGTCAAAATATGGGTCTTAATATGGGCCTTATCTCTATTGCTCAACCAGTTTCATTTCGGGACTAACATATAGTTCAATCTTTATTTCAATAATCCCCTTGTGTGTAGGGGTCTTTAGCAGTGGAAGGACCCAGAGAAAACCCTTCGATATGGGTCTTAATATGGGCCTTATCTCTATTGCTCAACCAGTTTCATTTCGGGACTAACATATAGTTCAATCTTTATTTCAATAATCCCCTTGTGTGTAGGGGTCTTTAGCAGTGGAAGGACCCAGAGAAAACCCTTCGAGGTTGGTCAGGTGACCCTACTCCTTGTCACGCACAACTGGGGAATCGAAACCACACCAGTTGACTCAATGACAGACCTTATGATACAGCACGCACGTGCTAACCATTCGGCCATCCAACCGCCAACTAACTGATGGATGGGGGAGATTACAATATGTGACCCCCATAGCATACTGAGTCACAATCAGGAAATTTTGAAAATTGAGTTATTGTTATTTGCGCATTCTCCAACTCAATACCTTCAATTTGATGTATAGTTTGTTTGAATTGGGCTAAAATTGACAGAGCTGTGTCCATTAGAAGCTATCCAACTCACAAAAGTAAGTTTTGAGAAAAAGCAAGTCAAAGATTTGGTATGTTCCAAAACAAAATCCCATAGCAACCAGGCCATTTATCTGCTGTTTTGTCAGTGAATATATCTTTCCATGGGTTTTCAGGGGTGCTGAAGACGAAAATCGTAGTAAAAATTTGATCCTACTATTTCCGCAATTTATTTGCTATTTTGTCGTTTAATGTTTTTCATTTAGGATTTCAAGGGTGCTGACGACGAAAATCGTTATAAATGCACTCCTTTCGTAACGAAACATCCACAACACATACGGCATAATATTCACATGATAGTGTTATACTGAAGAACAATCTATACATTAGTAGTCTGTTGTGTATATATTTATATATTATATATATATATATATATATATATATATAATATATATATATATATATATATAATATAATATATATATAATATATATATATATATATATATATCTAAATTTATGTTCGCGCAACAATACTAATCAAAGTTTCTATTGCGCTAGGCAAATTTTTCAATACTGGTCTTGGAAAGCAGTTGTGAAAAGCAGAGTCTTTATCTGTTGTTTAAACACATGCAGTGATGATATTATTCGAATATGGTGGGGGAGGGAGTTCCACAAGTAGGGTGCTGCAAACCAAAAAGATCGTTTTGTTGTTTCGAGATGTATCGGCTATATTATAGCTTTGGTGAGATTAACTCAGTTAATCTCATCAATTAATTAGCACCTTAGTGCCAGCTAGTGGCCAGGAGATTAAGATTGTTGATTGGATAATCATCAGAGAAGCCGCCACAGCTGTACACGTGTTCATTTAACACGTGAATTAAAATAAGGTTTTGCGTGTACGATAGGTCTATTATTATTTTCAGGTACCGTGACGTTATCAAAATATGAGTCCCTATAGAAATGTCAATTTCATAGTCAAGAAATGCTTACGTTCACTTGTGTGCATTTAGCTTTGATGTAAATATCAACATTATTCAGAGGATACTCAATGGCAGACTCGAGAATCGTCGCATTTCGGCTCGTTGGTCGTTCTCATTTTCTCGACCCATGGTGGTAAGAGAATTTTAAATAATAATATCCCAGATGCATTCCTTACTTTGCATGCCGTATGAAGAAGCGACAGTAAACGGAATTCAGCTATCAATAAAATTCTCTTCGAAAAGAAAATTATTGGCCATTTTGTTTATTTCCATTTAAGGCCTATAGATTATTTTTTTAAAGATGATATGAGATATCAAATAATCACCACTTGGATTAATTATTCGGAGTAAATAATGAGTTGTCGACGACTTTATCATTGACCCGTGACAGTTGATTAGTAATAGTATTACTCAATGACACACACCCGCTTGTCGATTAATTTACATCATTAGCCACGTGGTTTCGATTATCTCTCAACGGCAATCTATATACGAACATAATTTTTTTTTTCTGCCACTTATCAGAGTGAATCGCATGAAGTTACCCAAAAACATTATCGGCAAAACCAAATATTTATCGATAATGTCTTGCACGCGGTGTCTGGGCCAATCAGCAAACAAGTTGTGTAGACAGCATGGCAACAGGCGGAGTTTATTTATATTTTTGGCAGGTTTTAAAACTCGA